TCCCGCATCCTCAGACTGGGACAGCAACACCTCCTTCGAGTCGTCGTAAACCTCGTCGATCGTCACGCCAAAATCACCCTCCAGCTGCCCCTTTATCATGCCGCGCATCACTTTGTCAGGCATCATTAGGAAGTCGAGCATTCTGAACATTAGAGTTACGACGGCTTTGGAGCCTGTTTGGACGGCTTTTACGTTCGTTCGTTTATTTAGTTAGCTAGTAGAACGAAATGTCGTGATAATAAGACCAACCGCGGCGTCTGTAGACTAGGAAATCTGCTCTGTGTTTTTGTACTGCATGAGTGTGAGTGTGAATGGGAACTGACAAGGGAGAGAGGGCTTACGCTCTGGCCCGCCCCACGTTGCTGTTACATTCCTGTTTAAACTGCGGAACTACGTATGTATGTGAGTCGATGTAGGCTGGGTAAAGAAGGCGAGAGGGACTGACGATATAATCCCACTCGGGATATTCTTTCATCAGTCCGATGACGTACTCCAACCCCGGGGTGTGCGTGAACCCTGATACAGGCGGGGGAAGGAGGGCGTTGACGTCGTGTTTCTTGAAAAACTCCTCAGGCCGCCCACAGATAATTTTATGTGGAATCGGGTCACCGGATGTCCAGTCGTTTTCTTGACATTCCCTTTTTAAAATCAACAAGTCAGTGATTTCTTTTTGTGAATCCAAAGCAGAAAACGGAGAAGCGAGGCCGTCGTACTTGGAACAATAAACAGTTGACAAACCGACGTCCAGACACCCAATACGCTCGCTCATTTTTTTGCCTCTCCGTCTTCGTTGACTGCAGGTCCAGCAGAACGAACCCAAGTTGAGAAAGTGCTCAAGTTTCCTGACGGAGTTTGGGAATTTGTAGTCGGCGTATGCGGGGATGTTGACTCCCCCGAACCGAGCTATTGTGGCTTCTTCGTCTGCGATGTTCTACCCCCATAGAAGATGCGGTAGGAAAGAAACATAAAGATACATACCATTTTAAGCAACAACTGCCACAAAAAATTTGACATGAGCGTCATTCGTCGCACGCGAAGCGTATCAGCTCCATCGCGCAGGTCATCCGAGTCACATAGCCGGTCCACGCCCATATGTGGGATATAAACAGGGTCCAAACTCCAGGGATGTATTGGAATTCCTTCATAATCAGGTAGAGAAGATGGAACAATGCGCGATCGTCCGCAAGTAGGTACTCCGTCGTCAGTTCAGGGCAATAATTCCTTTCAGAATCTTCCCCGCCCCCGAATGGCAGCGTGATGCCGACCCCGTAGACGTGCCCGAACGCATCAAGTATACATTTCTCTTTTTCGTTTCTTGTAAACCCGACCCACTTACTTATGAGATCGTTTGGTTCGGCGGGGTGGAGTAGGTAAGACGCATATCGGGCCAGGATGTTTTGGACTGGGAATATGGGAAAGTGCTCGGATTTCAGGTGGGTTTCGGAGGAGTCGGAGAGCCGCAGGCGGATGGGTATAGATGTGTGGGAGGGGTTGAGGAGGGGGTTGGGGCCGTACTGCGCTAAGACCTTTGACCAGTGGTGGTTCCACTGTGGTTTGATGTCCGTCCGTGTGACAGGCAGTGGTCGTGTTTCACGCTCGGCGAGGAGGTTTCCGACAAAGTCTATAGGCTGGATTGGCATTAATCACCGCGTTTGTTGGTGAAGAAGCGAGAGATGTTGGGTAGAGAGGGTGAGTGGCAAATGAGTGTCTTTGTGTTGAACTAAAGGAGTTTTAATTAGAGTGTTGTTGTGGAGTGTTGCTCAAAGGACGGATACTGTATCACGTGTCAAAATACTACCTATCGACATCCGAGGTTTGTCTTTCGACCTGTTGGGAAACCAACATGTTTTGCGGCAAAAGAAAAAAAAACATCTATAGATACACAAGCTACAATCCAGAACAACAGTCGAAAGCGGGTTTAAAAAAAGCGGGGGAGTGAGAGGAATCAGCAAAACCCAATGTAAATCACGCATAATCAGAGGGGGGCCTCAGCACGATGCAGTTCCTGCGAGTCCACAGTAGACCGTAAGATTGTTCGCTTGTATCCAATCCCGGCGGACCAACGGCGCATCAACCTGGTGTCTATATGCATCACAAATCAGCACCCAGCAACGAAAGATTACTCACGCATCACGTAAATGGGGCACAAAACC